ACCAAACCAGAAGAATACAAGTTGCAACAACAGGCACACTAATACGGTAAATAAAGTAGTACGAGGTAAGATGCCAGGAATTTAACTCATACAACAAAGGAAAACTGGAAAACGGGAGGTACCAACTCCCGCGAGCAGAAAAATAACAATAAAAATACCGATACCACGAGTACCAGATATAGAACGAAAGAACCTGGAGCAAGTTTTCTTGAAGCGTATCGGATCTGCTTAAGAGCACTGGCAAGTCCTGCTGTTTCCCGCCGGAAAGCTTGTGGGGGGGGGGGCAGTGAACGAACGACTTTGAAGATTTTGTTACCACATAATGCCACATAAGCGATGAGAGGATTTTATTATGTAGGAGGATATAGTTAAGGGGGGTTTCAGGAACAAGCGATAATTTAGATAAGCACCTGACAAAAATTGTATAGTTGAGACGGGTTTTAGGGTATTAATTCTTTTTAAAATTTTCCAACACTAACATTTTAGCTGCAACACTAGTGATTATCTTCAAACTTAAAGTCTGGACGCTTTTTCAAACTCAAGGTGGAGAAACAAACTTGAGTCTGCTTAATTTGAAAATATAGAAAAGCAAACAGTTGTTACAATAGCATTGTAGGAACAAGACCGCAAATTCGCCTGATTGTTTTTTGCAAGAATTATGGTTGGAAATATTATTGTACCGCAGTCTTTTCAAAAAATGGGTGCACCGGATACTAAGGGTGTCAATAGTTCGGTTCGATCGGTTATTTTATAAAATTTATACCATACTAATTTTTTGGTTATTTAATAATGTATAACCAAAATTAGACTTTTCGAAATCGTCCCAATCATGTCGGTTTCTCTTCGGTATCGGTACAGTTTGGTTAATTTTTAATATTTTTTTAAATATCATGTAAAATTCACTAGTAGAAGTAGAATGCAAATACATATATACTTTAATAGGACTTAACAAAACTGTCTAGATATTTTTACTATTTAAATAGTGATGAAATAATGAAAATATGAAAGATGGCTAGAGTATAGATCCGTCAACTATTCTACAGCAGCGTAAAGGAAACTAAGCAAAGACAAAAAAAAAAAAAATACAAATCACATGAGTGGAAAGATATTAACCAAGTTGAGACTTAAGAAATAAAATCTATAGAAGATTAAATATTCAAAAAGATAAATCTAAATTATACGGAAGGAAGCATATTCAATACATTGTAGTTTGCTACTCATAATCGCCATAATACTTTGTGTCTTGCTAGTGAATATGTTGGAAATAATTTAGTGTCAGTAGAAGTAGCATAATAGGTTTGAGAATTGAGATTTTGACTTTAGTTACTTGTTGACTTGTAACCTTTTTCATAATTCCAAAGCTATGAAAAATTTAATAATTTATTATTTTTAAACTTAATATATAAATATATTTTTCACATATAAATTTATTCGGTACGGTTCAGTATTTTTTTGATTTATTTTCATAAAATAAAAAACCTACCCTAATTAACGGTACAATTATATATTTATATAAAAATCTATAGTTTTATTAAAAGAAACCTAAAATTCGGTTCGGTACGGTACTGTTCGGTCGGTTTAGTCGGTTTTTAAATATCCATTGACACCCCTACTGGATACAGATAATAATGGGATTTTTTCACTTTTTGCTCGCGTCAGAAACTATTTATATTCGGTAGCCAAAAAAATATATAAAATTTGTATAATTTTGTATATAACATACAAAATGTATATATATACCAAAAACATATATTTTTTCGGCTATTATTTTAAGAACCGTTATACAGTGTCATTTTTTCAATAATAATAATAATAATAATTAATGGAATTGTACAGTATTGCAAAAACAACCATAAAAATAGGCACAATGCCTACAAATCTACAATAATCATTTGAAATAAGAATACTGTTATTGGGATTGTTACTGATATTTACAAAAAAAAAAGTACTAGTAAAAGTTATGATACGAAGAAAATCTTGTCCAGGCAAGCGGTATCAAGCATCTTCCAACACAAGAACCAGTTGAGGAAAAGTAGTATATCAATTTCTTGATGAATACATGAGATATTAATTTATAGTGGTCAAACATAATACACATATGACTATTCTTCCCATCCCAATAAAGCCGAGTTACTCGTAATTAGATAGTTTTAATTTTCGCTAATGCAAGTAGTTTTAATTTTCGCTGATGGAAGCCGATTGAGATTCCAACCGTCAAACCATTAGTTGAGGGTAGAGTCTTCGGCCCAAGTAAAATAAAATCTGGTCTCCTCTTTCACCCAAGTGGTGAAATGGACTATTCTCTCTTTATGGAGTCTAATATGAGAACCGTTTGGACATAAGAATTTTTTTTATTTTTTCCGAAATTAGTGTTTGACCATAAAATTTATATTTTTCATTTTAAAATAAATTTTGTAATTTTTCGAAAATTTGAAAAACTTCAAAAAACTGTTTTTCAAAATTTTCACTCAGATCACTCACAAAAATTCAAAAACAACCCAAAATTATATTCATGCCCAACACAATTTAATTTTCAAATACTATTTTTAATTGAAAAAATAATTTATTTTATTATTTTTTTCTCCCAATTTTACAGTGCTTATGTCCAAACGTCCACTAATTCATATTCACATTAACAGAAAAGTGGATTTAATACCGAGACGCTTTGCAAGTCCAACGTGGAATCTAACTTTGAAAAGTCTTTTAATATCTTATCTCTTAACATACTTTAACACTGCTACTTGATATTCTAATAATAAAATAATATAGTTATGTTCGATAATGTGCAGAAAACTACTACTAGTATTTTCTTATAAGCTGGAGGATCTGGCTTTGCAAACAGTTTGAAGTGCCATATTCAACAAGTGAGATTTGTTCAGTTGGTAAAAGCACCCCTA